CACACACACACACACACACACACACACACACACACACACACACACACTGACACACACACACTGACACGCAGGAACACACCTACAGCTGAGAGTTTATCGATCTGTTTACAAAGACAGGGATTTACTGTACAACCAAGTCCAACAGTCTATAACCACAGGATCAGCCCGCACTTTCTCGTCACCCTCTCATCCTCACATTCACACAGAACATACACAACAAACACATATTTACACACAGACAGCAGCATTACATAGACCACGGCTGACACAAAGCCTCTTGTCTCCCCAGATACCAACAACAATAAGAACTGTGATCATCTCAGCACATACACATGCTCCAAAAGCCTTGACCACACAAACACTACAGATGTTCAAAACCACAAACAGAAAAGAGATGGAAGTGGCAAAGAATTGTATATTTACTGTCTACCTGATTAGGGTTTATTCCCTGAGAAAGGTTTCAGCTCCCCTAAAGCACTACTGATAGATAAAAGGTTTAATAAAGATAAGAAAAAATTAAATGTTTATTTTCTACATGTGCCATTCCTAGCTTTACAACTAGTGGTGTTATAACACCGCTATCCCGGACGAGCCCCCAATGTAGATTACAACACAATTATTGGCCAACAAGATAAAATGATAACAGATTTTTATGATTAAAAACCAGCCTGTTTGTAGTAAAAGTACTACACTAATAAGTGAATAATAATCAAAAAAAGAGTGGTGGTTTCCCTCAAACCATACCAGGCATACATTACACGTACATGTACAGCTGATATAATATGTTGTACTTCTGTCAGAATCTGTGAATTTTGGTTACTTTTTGTATTTATTTTGTTTCTTTGCGTGTACGTGCGTGTGTATGTGTGTGTACATGGTTAGGTTTACTGTATTCCTTTTTGGGACATTATGTGTATCTTTATTCTGATCGGTCTGATTTTCTTTTTTCTGCGTGTCACTTTTCTGTCCGTCAGTCCCGCTTTGTCCATTCTCACCTGTTCTCAGTCGTCATTCAGCCCAGGTGTCTCCACTTCCTCATCAACCCCTGTTTACATATGCTGACATAAAGCAAAGCTTTATTTCGGTTCTCACACCAAATCTGGCTCCTGTTAAGCTTTTTAGTCTATTTGTGCTTCCTTAAAAACTTGTGCCTCTCTGTGCTCATTCCTTGGTTCCTCTGTAGGTTTGTGTAAATAAAGTTTGGTTTCTTTTTATGCATTCCTGGGTCCAAACCTTTTTCAAACTGTGACAACTTCCACTGAGAAACATATTAAGAATATTGGGAGGAAAATTCCAATAATTAAAGTAAATCACAAGAATTTACAGATTTCTGTTTTAAAAACCCCACTGTTATTTCCTAAATGAGCTAAAATACAACAATACATGTGTAAAATAAATTATAGCATGACCTCTGAATCATTGTGCTCCTGTAGAGAAGCAGATGCTGTAACACTGACACAAACAGGCCAGAGTACAGTCAGATGGATGGATAAATAAAAACTATAAGCTCACCTGTGTTTGACCCCATCTTAAAGCCATGACCCATCCATCCTCATCTCCAGACCTGTGATTGTGTGCGAGTCAGTGTGGTAACTTAGAATGATGGTATCGACACTAATGGCTAACTTTATACAGATTGACCACAGAGGAATCTGAAGGCTGCTTTGTTTCTGGCAGATCAATGGCTTGATTTTTAACTGCCTGCATGAGTGTGAGTGTGTGTGTCAGCATGTGCAACCTTATAGTAACAGTGAACAACAAAAAGCAGAAAAAATCATTTTAATTATAGAAAAAGGAAAACAGAGCATGGATGGAAAAATGTGTGAGTTTCTAGACTTATACCTTTGTTAAAGATAAATGTTTGATTTTCTAAAAATAAATAGCTCAGATGGTTTGCCAGATTTATTATATAAAAAACATATGAATACAGTACAGCTCTGATTTTATTAAACTTGGAGGGAAAGTTTAAATATTGAGAAATTATAGTCAGAGTTAATGGTTTATATTGTAAGACACCCTGTGAACGTACACATATGAGCTAAAAATGTATGTCTAACAAAATAAGTTGCAGACTCTACAGATGATGAGCTAGAAATGATCCTAAAACATAAGCTGCTTTTTGTATTTTACTCTCAATCAGAACATGATTTCACAAATTAATGTCAGGTTGTACTGAAAATTGCTTTTACAGTGATAAAAACCATTAAATCATAAGAAAAATGCAATGTTCAATTTCAAAAGTGTTATTTTCTGCTATCAATAATTTGTGTACAATCTACTGTACATGCACAGAAAATATTTGTACTTGGATGTCAAAAATATTAGAAAATAGTATCACAAATCTGGATATTTAAGTCTGAAATGTCTGAAATTTTATCATGTGAAGGCTGTAGGAATCCTCAGTATCTGTGTTTGTTGTTGTCTGTTCATTCACTGTTGTTTTTGTGTTTTTTATTCATTTCATCTCTCCCCTTGTCAGGAGTCACCACACCAAGTTAACTTGCATGAATTGTTTCTTTTGTGTGTGTGTTTCTTTTCCCTCAGTCAGTTTCTCCCAGTTCTGTCCATCTCCTCACATCTGTCTTGCATCCCAATCAGCCTCATCTGCATCCATTTCCCAATCAACTCCAGCATGCTTAACATTCTTCTCCCAGTCCATCCACAGTCTGTTATTGTGGTTTCAAACCCTGGCTGTCCTTGAGTTTCAATGTATTTCCTTGTGTTTTTTGCAGCCTATTTGTTTTTAGCTTCTTTTGGTCATTAAATCTTTAAAGTTATACTCATACTCCTCGTGTTTATCTGTATTTGTGGATCTAACTTCTCCTAACTGTGACTGTGGGGAAAGAGTCAAAATAATTTCAAAATGATTTCCATTCTCTTAGTAATTGTTTTAAAAAAAATTAAATGGTAATAATGATTTTTTTTTTAAATTACCATAGTTTGTAAGTCCTTGTTTCTCAGGGTCATTAGTAAGGTTTGTACAAAAAACAGCAATAGTTGAGTTAACAGGCCTCTACTGTCATTATGTGGGTAAAAGAACAAAAAAAAAAGTTTAACTATAGTATATCAATGAATTCCTAAGGCTGGTGGATAATTTTCTGGTACCACTTTACAATAAGGCTCCCCTTTTAGATGGCTAATAAATAACTTATAGTTACATTAATAATTCATCTGTAAACACTTGATAAATCATTAATAACTGCTTATTAAGCATTAATTAAGGGTGACAGAGAGACAAAACTGACCAGTTTCTTGCCAAATAGTGAACCAAATCTGTTCACCTATATATTTAATCTAGAGTTGTTATATTAAACATTTCAGACTTGTGAGCACAATAAGCATTTTTTTTAGCATATAATATTGTACTGTACTGTACTGTACAGTGTATTGTACACTGTATTATAAATATCTATCTACATATATAAAAAATATGCAGTGATAAAGTACAATATCAAATGGTAAAAAAATAGGTTTACAAATGCTTATTGTTCTTACAAGGTAGTAACTTAGTCTGAAATGTTTAATATAACAACTCTAGATGAAATATATAGGTTAACAGATCTGGCTCACTGTTTGGCAACAAACTCGTCAGGTTTGTCTCTGTCACCCTTAATTAATGCATAATAAGCAGTTATTAATTATTTATAAAGTGTTTATAGAGGAATTAATAACATATCTATAAACTATTTATTAGCCATCTATAAGGGGAGCCTTATTGTAAAGAGGTACCAATTTTATTTTTACCTTCTGTTTATGCATTGGCATATTTCTACCAACCCACTTAACTTCAAATGCACCAACGTCATATTTGCATGAACAAAAATAATTTGCTTCAAAACAAGCATCTAAAAGATACATGCAAACTATAAGTTACTGCTTATTTTAACATTTAAATAAAAACTTAAATCCCAATTTATACACAAATTCCTAAAATAATACTAAACTGAATAAAAATAATCACTTTTCTGTAATAAATGGCATTTATCCTTTCCCCCCCTTGCATTACTGCTTGACCACTCCATGTGTGTGTGTGTGCGTGTGTGTGTGTGTGTGTGTGTGTGCGTGCGTGCGTGCGTGCATGTGCGTGTGTCCACTAATGACACCAATCAGAATTTCCTTTAGGGGCTGAGGTGAGAGTTTCGCACTGACCCTTTTAATGTGTCTGCATCTGTGTGTGTAAAGGCCTAGGTGTAGGCGTTTGTTTGTGCTCACTGACCTCTTAAACACCCCTGTGCTCGTCAACACACAACACAACCACTGGACTGTGACCTGCCGAGTAAGAGCTTACGCTGCACACCTCACACATCTCTCTTTCTGCTCCTCGCCGGGCTTCAAACACTTTTTAAGTCTTCTTTCCTCTCAGACGTTGCTCTCGTCAAACCTGCAGGATTTTCCTCTACGTATCAAACATGCCATCCCTGTACAACCCCCACTTTATGCTGTCTCATTATAATAGTGTCTAATGTGTCTGTGTATTTGTGTGTAAGGCCTGGCTGCAGCACCGGCGGAGAAGAAGGGGTCTGCTGTGGTAATTGGTCATGATGAAGTTTGGCCAGTGGGGTGACAGGCCCACTAAGGAAGATGGATCATTCTCATTCGTGCCCGTAAATGTTGTCAATTCCACCGCTCATACAGCACCATCAGCCTTCATCAAAGGAAAGGGACGCAGCTGCCGGGCCATGGACGGGTTGGACTGGGAGGGGAGGGTTGGGCATGGAGCGTTACATGAAAAGATGGCAGAGGGATCTGGACCGGGTGTAAACTGTTA